ATCGCCTAATATGGCATCTTAACAAGATCCAACAACATGGAACAATAAGTCCAGGTACAGATCACAGTTGCAATCCGAACAATTCTACCACATCCTGATTCTGTTTGTTGAAACTGACTCCCTGACCAAGTCCTTGGCTTCCCTTGGCTGCAGCTGCCGTGCGATGTCCGCCTCGGTGCTGGATGATGACTCTTGGATCGCCTTTTTATCGCGCCGAAATCTTCGATTCAAAAAGACTACTTGGGGATCACCAGTGCAGAGGCAAAAATGACATCTATTTGTTATCCCCTATACCCATTCGCTTCTCATTCTATTCAAATCTTTATGTCAATCTTTTGTTCGAAATCTGTTTGTTTTTTTTTCCACTCCTCATTCGTCATTAGGATTTGGTGTGGCTTCGAGTGGTGATGTCCCTGCCCTCCGAAGCCATCCAAGCGGAGATGGCCGCGGTGAAGCGTCGGGAAGAGAACGGCGAGGTTTGGGCAGTCAAGATCTCACGTGCAACGCCTTGCGGGAAGGAACATGAGGATTGCTTCAATTGCTTCCAACATCTTCCAACTGTTTTCTAAATTATGGACAGCTTATCTTCGAGATTTTCAGATCATGCCATTTCTACATGCACAAGATGTTTCTGTGACATGTAGCAGGTTCTGCCCAAGGGCATCTACAAGGGCATGGTGCGTACAGAGGCATCACGGATTTCCATGGATTTCCAGCTTTATGTGCCGCAGAGAAGAGCTAGCTGCTAGCTGTTCATTAATTTGTCTTGTCCTTTAGAAGAATTGGAACGTGTTGTTCGCACCTTTTTAAGTTTAGCTGGGACGGTTGACACTTCCCTCCATACCGCACGGGGCCGCTGAGCGTAGCCAGAAGGAGCTACCAGAGATCACATCACGTTCGCTCAGCCCACGACTATGATCAGTCCAGTTAGAGTTTCCCATTGTGCGGGAATCACTGGGCCGCCCGCTGACGGTGAGAGCTTTGCTCAAATCAGGGCCGCCATGCTCATGACTAGTCTCATGTCTTGATTCGGTTCCAAGTCGTTTTGAGAACAAGCACCACTCATCATAACTCAACGCATTTTGTATTCAAAGGTTCTTGGAAACACCCACGAAAGAACAAAATTCTGTAACTTTGTTCTCTTCCTGCCAGCTCCACGCGCTTTCTTCTCCCCGCAGCCCGCACAGGTGCGCCGTTTGCGTCAGGAGGCGGAGCAAGAGCGCCGGCGGCGCGAGGAGGCCCTCGCGCGGCAGCGCAGCCACTGGGCAGGATGGAAGGTGCATGAAGCTCACACACAGTGTACCAAACACACAGTGTGCCAAAGCATCCTGTATGAACTTGCAGAGCAAATAGATGCAAATAGTCTTTGCGCCGGGGGGAAGCGTTCGCCACTTCGGCTTTGGCACTGGTCGCCGAAGGAAGGATGTGAAGAGGTGAAGAAAACATGGTTCAGAAGCTGGAGGTGGTTGAATGAGACACCCACAAATCAAGATCATCAAGCAACTTGTAACCGGATGATGCAACTAATTAAACTATGTATATAAGTTATCTAAGTGAGTTAATAGGACCATGGAACATGTCTCTTGGCGTAGGCTGCGTATGTTTACTTTGGCTTCTTTATATCCTCCAACTCCATTTCTCATCTCATCATTTAGGTCCCAAAAGGCTCAACCAGCAATATCAGCAATATCTTTGGGGCACCCATTCAATACACAATGGGTAGAGAAGTGAGATAATATGTATGAAATGGTGGATGGCAGCTGGATGCACGCCACCGGGAGGTCAAACCAGAATTGACTTCGCTGTGCCTTCCCAATGGAGACCCTGAATAAACCCGTGGTGAAGTTCATGAGGATAGAGAGAAGCCTCAAAAGAGGCAAGTTCCTATATCAGTCGATGCAAGTTACTATTTTACACTTTAAAGATCTTTGGATCCTTTTCCGTCTTCAACGGTTCAAGCAAGTCTTTCCCGATACCAGGTCTGAGGGACCCACTTCAGCGCCCACGTGACTGGCACGCATTTGGAGCGACCTCGTCGGAGGAGGACGGCCAAAGCTGAGAGACGGCGAGTCTTGCGACGGAAGACTCGCCGTTATGTTAAAACCCAAAGGAGACAGAAGACATGCGGACCTTTGCCCACAGGGAACTGGAATAGTCTCTGATTTCAACGTTGGCTTCTCGGTCGCCTTTGCCTGATGGATGAGCCTTCACATCCAGGGAATTCTAGGGTAACATGTGCATAGTGCATACCTTCAAATTCACTACACTACAGTATGTGCAGCAACGAAGCAAGAATCAGAAATGGCTTTCGTCCTTGGGTTTATATTCAACCTTCGTAGAACTCTCCGAGATGTGGTCTTCATTGCCGTATGTTTGCCAAACTCCTATTCATCAATATTCACCCCAGTTCATCCCAAAACATCCTTATCTACTATATTCCTGTGACTGAAACAGCCCAAACTGCCCTCCCGTCCGACTCGGAACACGCTCTGGGCAGGCCACGTGTTTTGCACCACCGTTCGTGGCGCGTGGCTGAGGCCCTCAGCCCAGTTTCCCTGGCCCCGGATTCCCGGGCGGACGACCCTTCGCCAGGAAGCTCAGAACGAGACGCTGTTTCCGTCCGTCCACACGTGGACTCTGGAAAGGGAGATTTGGGGAGTTGGTTCCTGCAACATATGATGTTCCGAAGTGACGAATCTCAATGCTTGCATATGATTGCTATGCTGCTACGCCTATGACTGATCTTGAAAACCACTTCTCGGTTGTGGCTTTCTGGCTTTGGACCGCCCTGCAGAGCGGGATGGTTTCTGTAGATTACCAACCTAACCAGAATCCGCAGGTTCTTCAGCTCAGTTTGGCCAGTCCGAAGCTGGTTGCTGGTTGAAGAAACCTTTGACAACCAGATGGAAACAGGACAGGAATCATGATGGAATATATTATACATAGATTCTAGATGACTACTATATACGTATAGACATGTATAGACCAACTGAATGTACTTGAGACTTGCACCATCGCAATCCGATACGGACCCAAGGAAAAACACGGCAAAACCATTAATTTAATTAAAACATCACAGCTCGGTTTGGACGACTGCCTCGCACGGCCAGATCATCGGCGGCCCCCACGACCTGGATCCAGGTTTTGGGCGACGGACGCTCGGCGGGCGAAGGACTCTGGGAGGTGGCAAGCGCCACCGCCACCGTTGGCAAGCACCGATCGCCAACTATCTCGTGGAGTCTGAGTCGACGGTGCTGTCACCATTTGGGTCACCAAAAAGCTCCCCAGCCGTGTGTTTTAGGATCCGCCGTGAACCACTGGAAGTGTCCATGTCTTCAGTATGGAGCCGGAGCCCTCTTGACGATGCAAAGACTTGCTGCAAACATGTGGAGTACTGCCAGTTGCCGCCTTCGAACTCAGAAGTCCTTTGTGATGTCAAGGTGTTGATTTCTGCAACTTCAGACCTGCAGTCACATGGAGCCACTACCCGGTCGTTTTGGGGAACAGCACTATTCAGCGAAGTGGTTACTTGTTTTGGACACCTCACATCCACCGGGTCTCGGAGAGAGTTTGAGGCCTCATCCCTTCGGCGGTTCCTGGGCAGGGCGTGAGGAGGGGAGGAGGGGTTCCTCGAGGGATGGACCCACTGCGGTAGACGGACCCAGCGGTTTACCAGGCTCTTGAAGCTCTTGTGAGGGACAACGGTCGGTATTCATGGACCTACAAACGACAAGCATTGTCTTAAAAAAGGCATCCAAATGCCATTGTAATGAAATGTGCTTTATGGATCAGCCAACACGTCAATCAATCAATCAAGCAAGCAAGCAATCAATCAATCTTTCCATACATATATATATATATATATGGATCCCGTGAGCATGGCCTTAGGCGTTTTCAGGCCTTGGCACCATCTGTTCTAAACCCACCGAAGCTACCATACGCTGTTCTCATTCAAGAGGGGTTCCTTGGGCACCTGGCCTTCCAGAGTATGTCACCGAGTTAGAGTCGATTAAGTCAATTGAGATGAGTGTCGCTGGACTAGCAAAATGTTGAACTATCATACTTGATTATACCATAATAGTACAACTTGGAATCAATTATAACCAACCACTACGATAGTCACTGTAATCAACCAGATTAGCGGATGAAACCAACCGCTGTAATAGCATAGCTGGATTGCACAGGGGGTTGCCACCTACTTGGCCAATCCTGTGATTATGCTGGGTCCCTGCATTTGCCCCAGGTGGGATGGGAGGAGGCGGCTTTGGCCCCCGCTTTCATTGAGTTCGAGGCTTGCTCAGGGGCCGGACTAATATCAACTACTTTCTCCTCTATGGTTTTGACGCCGCCATGGACATGTGTAAACTGTTGGCGCTTACCTCATAAAATCATAAACATGCATGAGCATGAATACCAAGGGTCCTCGTACAGTACTTTCAGGCTGCTCTGGTTTCTGCAGGCTTTGTTCCAAAAATGATCTCCGGAGAAAATAGCACAGTTGAAGTGATTCCATAGCAAGGCTCATTTCCAGATTCGTTCCTTGAGATCAACGAGTTTCTCATGCAAATCCAGACGTTTGTAACACAGACCCTCCCTTCAGATCGCCAGACTGCCTGTGAAGGTGCAAATGGTTCATGTTTCATGCACCAGCGGTCGCCCAACTCTTGAAGCTCGGTGTGTGGATCCTTTTGGATCCTTTTGGTCTTTCAGGAGGCGACTTTTGCTGCAGACCGCCAGAAGCACAGCTGGATGCGGCAAAAAGGGTTTCCTGCCGGACAGCAGGGAGAGCTGCTGGGGTCTCGAGTGGTGTTGCATGAAACGACCCTCCAGGCCCAAGCCTACAGTGAGATGTCATTTGAATAAATAAGACGTGCCAGATCAGATGAGTTTGATGCGGGTATTGCACCATGCTTATCATCATGACGCCCCATGGCTCCCATCTCATAGATTCGCCCCGCATGGAATTCGACCCCGCGCGTTTTCCGCGGACACGGGCGGAGGCCGCCTGGAGATCCGTGTGCTCTTGGGTGGTGGGTCCAAAGCTGAGCCAGTTGTGGGAGGAGACTGATTCACGTCCGCATCCGTCGGCTGAGCAAACGAATCAGCATGGCCCAGGATGGCTCCGGGTGTGATGAAAGGGACCTACCGATGAAAGTCTGAAGTGGATCATGGACCATTGATCCATCCAATGGCCACCCCACGCAGCTTGGCGTGTCTCGTTTGAGGCCCTTCCGGATCGTGCTGCCTCTCAAGGGCTTGGATGAGGCCCTTGGATGGACATGGATGTGTCTCCCGATGAACCCATGAACCCGGCGATGCTGATCGGCTTAGCGATGCCTCCCCCTGTTATGAGCCAGTGGACTGAATTCGATCCACATACCTGCGGAGGTTGAGGAATGCTGTTGCCAAAACGCCCAGCTACACTGGCAGCAACACTCGGTCGGGGGTTGACGTGTGTTACTGCTTGTTGCTTGCTGTCATGTTTGTCCTGGCATTTTGTCGGCTACAGTCTGCTATTTTATGCATGTGTTGTGTCTACACTCCTGGGAACTATCATGGAAGTGGATGGCGCCATTTGTTTGGTATTCGGAAAATTGTCATCCAAGGGATCATTTTCCACTTCCATAATTTAAAAAGCCCAAGGAGTCTATATGAGTTTATGCTTGGGTTTTGCCGTTGTGTGTGTGTGTGTCATCGTTGTGTGTTTCTTGTGGTCGGGCCGCTGCAGGAAAGGAAGCTGGGGACACCGGACGGGATGTGTTAGTGTTGTCATTGTGTTTTGTATATATATATATATATCTTGTGTCATTGCTTCGTGTATATATATATATGTGTGTGTTGTCTTGTTTGTGCTTCTGGTGTTGTCATTATTTGGTGTCTTTCCAGGAGGGCCATGTTCCACTTCCATGTTTGGGTGTCATTGCCAGTGTAATGGTTTGTTGTTGCTCATGTTTGTTACTGGGAAATGAGCTGCAGAGCTCATCACAGGGTGGGCTGTCTATCTCAAGTCCTGTCGGGTGGGAATAGAGAACATCCTCATCCGAGTCATCCGAAACAGTGAAAGGGAACGCAAAAGAAACAGTGCCTGAGCAGACGATGGGTTTGAGGGCATTGGCAACACTGTACATGTAGCAAAGTAGCAGTCAAATCCACATGCTGCCAGAATGTCCTACGAGATTCTTCTCCCGGTCATTTCACCGGTCCTCCCAGCAGCAGTGCTTGTCATTCGTCCGCCCCGTTCGCAGGCGGACGAGCGGATCCAGCGAATCTATGGCTTGCCAGGGCCCAGACTGAACCCAGACATTCTTATAGAGAAGATCCTGCGGTGTGTTGGCGAATGCCCCCCCCAAAAAAGTTGTCTATGATCTTGGAAATTCCTTCAGCAAGTGCTTAGCTTTCATACTTGTTGACATGTTGCAGCTTTTTGGACCTCTTGCTATCCCTCCCATGTGAGCCAAACTACCAGCCCAGGCCATTTCAAGGATGATATCCACAATCGGAATGAAGGTTTGCTGTGACTCCTGTAGAGTGGTGCTAGGACATATATATATATATACATAAACCTCACTATGGAACTCTCACTTTTGACAAATATACATATAATATACTTTAAACCTCACAAATCTCATGAATAGACCTTGTGGCATAAAGGCTTTACACTTCAAAAACAAAGTCATGGAAGTGGATGGCACCACCTGTTTGCCATTTTCCACTTCCATTATGATTTCAGGGAGTCTTAGCCTTGCTGTCTCCTCCCTCTCACCACGTGGGGGCCGAGGGAGATGCAGATCAGCTTCAAAAGGTTTGAGACCTATTTTTCAGTCAAAACACTACATCTCCAGAGACGACCACTTTCTCAATATTATTCTATACATGTATACTGTATATTACTGTATGGTATATGCGGTATATATATATATTTATTGCAACCACTGCAGGTGTGCACAGGCCAGTGAGATCAGCATAAACACCTATGTCATCAAGATCATATAGTTTATTACGTGCCACAACTCCTATCTCATCAGGCCAAAACCGACAAACAAGACATAAAAAAGACCCTGGCACGCACATGTATCTTGTTTCATCAATGTTCGAGATTTCATGGTTGCAGGAGGTATATTTGATATCAAACCACACGTGACAGAGGTTTTTGTATGGATTATGTCACCAACATAGCATGCGGCAAGTAGTGGATGAGATAGGAATGCGGTTGGTCATGCCATGAAGCTTTCATCAACCATGTTTTCTTGGGCACGGTATTTTTGCTGATGCTTTGAACGTTATGTGCTGGCAGAACGTCCACGCAATTCCTATGTCATCCTGTTGTGTAATGCATTTGCCATCCCAACCTTGTCTACTGATGACTTAGTCGTTGTGGCCCACTTTGCCCAACCATTACAATGTCATCAGCCCTACAATAAGCGATTCCAAATAATTAAGTTAGACGTTGCTAACCCCAAGAGGAGTCCCAAGAGAGGGTCTTGCATGGGTTCCCATCCCACGCCCCGCTTGGCTTCCCAGGCCCCGCTTGGGTTCTGAAACCTACGAGCGCAGCTGAAAAGATGCAAGTCTTGTCGCAGATCGCGGTGTTGATTTTGGAAGAAGGATCCCCTACAACATATACTTTTAATGTCCGTTTCTCATTTGTTGTACGGTTGAATTTTCCCTGCGGTATTTGGAGAACCCATATGGACTTTGTGCTTTTGGCTCGTGAGCCACCAGCGCTCGAGAAGGAAGAATCTGCAGCGCTTTGTTTTTCTTGCACTTCCATGTCCTTCATGTTATTGGGCAAAGGTTGCGAGTGGCCGAGTGGCAACTGCTCACGATTCGAACGGGTGGAGTGACTAACGATGCCCATTGCTCCTAGTATCCTAGTAGCTTCTTGTTCCTAGTAGCGATGCCAGGAGCCCCTAGTACAATCCTTGCTCCTAGTAGCGATGCCCTTTGCTCCTAGTCACTGGAAAGATACAGAGATTTCATGTGATAGGAAGCATCTATATAGTATACAGTATGCATCGATCTTGAAGACCCCACATACCTGGTCGCTTTCGGCTCAAGCCACCGGCTCCAGCTCATTGTCATGACGCGATGGTTGGAGATCACGGTGAAAGAAGCAGTCGGTTTGGCCGGTGATGGTCGACACTGCGTGGAATTCTGGCTCGATGGGCATTCTCCAGAGCGCACGGAATGGGTGGATGGAGATGAAGGACAAAACAAGAACTTTGCGGCGGACGAGTTGCCCACGCGGTGTGCCAAGAGGACCATCGTTTTGAGAAAAGACTATGATTACGAGCTAGCGTCCTTGCATGTGATCGCCTATCATCAGAGGACTTGGAATGATAAGAAGGTTGGGGAAGCGCACATGCCTTTCTCTGACCTCTATCATGGTATTGATGAATGGCTGCCCCTAGAGCTGGATTCCAAGTATGTGGGCAAGATATACTTCCAGGCACGCTTGAAGAAGATGAAATCCAAAGTGAAGAAGAGCGAAAAGCCAAAGCCTCCAGTACAGTGGCGATCTCCCTCCAGCTATCCTCAGCTGCATCCTGGACTGGAAGGGCACCTCTACAGTCGATCAAGCAGAATGGGAGTGGCTAGATGGCGACATCCGGAGATAGTGGTGGGCACCAGGCCATGGTACGAGGCCAACGGCATGAGCTTCAAGCGACATGCCTTGGATGCTAAGAGACATGACTGGATGCCGCATGCTCAAGGGGCTGTCCACTCGAACATCTCCGGCACTGGAGTACCTCGCTGGCCGGCACCCAAAAAACGTCCAAGTCAGAGTACATTCACATCAAAGGCCTCTTTGTTTATGTCCAAGGGGACCTCACATTCCGGCATTTCAAGAAAAGAAGATTTGCTGAAATTTAGAGGGAGCCAGAGCCTTCCAAGTCTTGACATTGGTCAGCATCCTTATCCACCATCTCCGGCCTTCATTCGGGATTTCATGCGACGACTTGGAGAGAAAGAGGCAGAGATTCGCACTAAGCAGCAAGCTACTTCGTGACCTTGAAACCTAAAGGGATTCAAGCCAGTCTCACCTGCAGCGGCCATCGCAATTCGCGGCCAAAACCAAAGCGACAAGCACCAAAGGAAGGTGCCTGGATGTTGAGGAAGATGATGGAAGGTGGGAAGGGAGAGGCATGGAGAGGTGCAATGTCGGAAGATGGGAGATGAGGGGCTGCCGCTGGCGACTTCACTGGCCCCCAGTTCCCCAGAGTTCAACATGTGTTGCAAAAGAGCTTTTGTCAGCCATTTCAGGGATCCCAAGTTGGAAGTCAAGGTCAAGGTGAGTACTGCAGGTGGTGTCAGGTATATATATAATGTTCAGTGGCATGTTCACTGGGGAGATTACTGTATTGATTGCCATGAGTTTCTTTTCCATGCCAAATCCTGCACAAGTTGATAACAAAGTTCTCCAGGCCTGCATGTAGCTGCAAACAATAAGCCCATACAGGATGCTGTCGGTCGAGGGAGGTGGGATGGTGGGATGAATCAGGTGGTTTTGATGTGGTTCCAGCCTGCCGCTACATCTGCAAGCGCCAATGCGGCTTAGTTTGCCTGACTGACTTCATTGTCAAAAAGAACAGCAAGCCACAAACAAGTAAACATAGCTTAACAACCTTAGGTCAATGGGGCACTTGGGGCCATGCCTGCGACCAACTTTCAGCATTGAACATCATTGAAAGCATCGACTCTTGCTTCCGGACTTCTTCCTTCGGTCGCAGGCCATTCCGACGATCGCTGAGATCCACCGAGCTCCAATGCGATTCGCCCTGCCACGCCCTCCGTGCCCGTGGCGGCGAGGGCGAGGAGAACGACTCGCCGCTTCGCGCGTGACACCGGAGCGCTTCGCGCGGGAGAAGGCCGAGCTTCTGAGCCGAAGAGACAAGTCGTCCAAGGGAGACTGGGATGCTCGGAAGCTCGGAGCACGGGAAGGCTCGGGGTGAAGAGCGCAAAGAGTGGGTGACTGGGTGAGGTAGAGACGTTCCAGAGAGGTGGATTTGCGGCACGGCAGGTGGATTCTTTGCGGGCGGGGGCGGCGGGTGGGGGATTTTGCCATTCGGAGACCTGACTGTTTTGCGGAAACTCAATTTGCTCCCACCAATCTGTGCGACAAAAGAGCGCTGTTACCGTTGGGAGCCTCCGTTGGGAGCGGATAGCGGTTCCACCGTTCTGTCTCTCCCCGTGAGAACCTTTAGAGTCTAGAGTGTCCACAGCGTGAACCCACAAGCAGATGAGCCCATTCACCTTTGCAGTCTTCGCAAGATGTCATTGGGTTGGGAGGCGCGGATAAAGATGGGAGTTGGGCTGCTGGAAGTCTTAGCTTTTGCCCGTTGGGCTGCTGGAAGTCTTAGCTTTTGCCCGTTGCACTCTGAAGTGGATGGGAGTTGGGTTGCTGGAAGTCTTAGTTTTTGATTGATTGCATGTTGCACTCTGAAGTGGCTGAACTTTGCAGATGGCGATGGAGAGAGAGACTCTGAAGTGGATGGGAGTTGGGTTGCTGGAAGTCTTAGTTTTTGCCTGTTGCACTCTGAAGTGGATGGGAGTTGGCTTGCTGGAAATCATTGATTTTGCCTGTTGCACACTGAAGCGGATGGGAGTTGGGTTGTTGTTCTTTTTGATTGCGTTTGTGGCACTTGCTTCAGAGTGGTGTCACCCGGATGTGAGGCTCCGTCCCTTTAGGGCGGCGGGGGGGGGGAGCTTCCTTGAAGAAGCGTGAGCTATCCTGCGTCCAAGGTAGTAGCGTCCTGTACCTACTGTACGTAGAAGCCTACTTGTAGGTACCAAGCTACCTAGCTAACCCACCTCACCTCTACTAGCGGCCTACCCAACCCCCCAAAAAAAGAAGAGAAAACTAACATTATACAACTACTAGTACTTTCTCGTTACTAGCAGTACAGCCAGGAGCCTCTAGTAGCAATGCCCCCTCTCACATAAGCTGGTCTTGGCCGATTGAAGTCGTGGGCCTTGCGCACTCAGGATTGTACCCTTGCTGAACGTCATCAACAGCCATGAGGAGCACCTCAGATGTCCTAGGTCAAGTGGTTTGCATCATCCAGCACCTTCCAAGAGGTCACCAATGGACTACCCCCACTCCACCACCAATAGGCATGCTGAGTCCTGAGTCACCTTGATTCGTTCCTGCGGCGTGATTCTGGGGGGGCAACCGGAACTCAAATAACCCACCCCCAAGAACGGAGTTGAGCTTTCTTGGAGGGATTGAGTTCTTTTGAATGCGCGATCCGAAGAACTAAGCCATGGCCATGGCGTTCATAGCCCCCAGCCATGGCGGAGACATCGCATCGGACCAGGTATTGCAGTTTGAGCTCCTGCAGTGGGCGAGCCTTCCTTTGGCGACCTGATGAGGAGGGTTTGGTGCCCAAGAAGCCGCGAGTCTCGGAAAGCTGGCGTCTCCTGGCAGCGAAAGGAGGTGCGAAAGCTGGTGTCTTTGGTTCAAAAATCGATCTTGGTAGAGTGGTGCTGAGCTGGGCATGCGTGGTTTTGACTTTGTTGTTCATGTGACCTAAACAAGAGGGTTGAAGAAAGAATCATCCTTTGAACAAGGCATGGGACGTCGATGTGTTTCACATGGCATATCATGGCATGATTTTGTCGGGAGCACTTGTTGGTGATGGTTTATTTGTGTGTTCCTTTTGTTCCCAGGTTGCTTTTCTCAGTACATCCAAGGATTTCACATTTGCCACGCCTTTGAGGACTGGAGAGGGGGTGCCTTTAAACCTTTTGCAGAGCTATATAGATTGTCATTAGCAAGCTTATATAAGTTTCATTGTGAAATTGCTATGTGGCCGTTTTGTTCTCAACATGGTTACCCCTGGTTAAGACAAATATTTCCACAAACATGTCTTGTAGCTGCATTGGCCATGGCTGGGAGCCTTAAAACCCCCTTCAATACATGCATGTATTGGGTCACAGGTTGCCGAAAGCTGTTGGCCATGGCTTCTCGTTCTCATCCAGCTGCAATCCTCTCCGACTGGTTCAGATCGTGAAGGGGTCGAGCGGTCTTGGCTGTCCTCCAATTTGCCAAGTTAGATGATGTTAATTAGATGAAAGGGCATGAGGTGTTTTTTTCCTGCAAGCTTTGGTGTTGCTGCCTGCCTTCATCTTGTCAGAATTTCTTCCCCCAAACGTTAATTTGATGGTGATGTTCAATTGCAATTTGGATCTTTTCTTTTCGCGTTCTTTCAGCCAGCCCGGGTCTCCCTGTACGACTTCTCAGGACTGGGACCCCGAGAGTGCATTGGTGGGCATGGAAGAAACAATTTGGGCGCGCCCCTTGGAGTTTGAAAAGCGAGTCGTACCTTAAACTGGGTGGTGGTTTCAGATATTCTTATGTTCAACCTTTATGTATTCTTATTTGGGATGACTGAGCCCACATGTTGACAGTAAGTTGAAACCGTTGAAAGCAATTAACTGTGTGTTTTTGAACATCTTACTTTCGTGAGGTGCTTTTGGATGCTTTTGGCCATACCTGATGGGTTTCGGACTGTTTACCGACTTGTCTCGCCTCCCGAGCCTCAGCTCGCTCAGAACAGGTTTTGAGCCCTTGGTGCTTCACGTGGCCTGCCGTAGCTTGCCCGAAGCCTGCCAGTTGGTGGCCCAAGCACAGCTAGCCTTCCCGAAGAGTTCCTTGTTGTCCTTCCGGAAGCGTGCCTCGAAGAAAAATGACACCAAACAAGCAAACGCGGCACCCAAACGCCAGGTGTTTCCAGTCGGTGACCCGTTGGGAGGCCACATGGTCGGCTGGTTCATTGGATGCGTCGGTTTCTCGTGGCATTCGACCGGCTTCTGTGACTGGAGCAAGGTTTCGTTGTGCAGATCTTGGGGGAAGATTACGTGGAGCCTTGGCCATTTTCGCGGGAGGTTGTGGGGTGAGGAGAAGGCAATGGAAGGCGGCCTAACCGCAGGACTTCTTCGAGCAGACTTGGAGGCAGTTGTTGTTCGGGCTGTCGGGTGCTTTTGGGGCAAGCCCTCTCATGTGGTTTCCAAGCCACCCATCATGCCCATCTCATTGTGCACCGGCTTTCAACACCCACAAATGTGGACTAGAATCATGTCATGTTTGTGTGCGGTATTGAGTTCCATAAAGAGCATCTTTCATTGATGAGTTGGCTGAATTGGGATATGAAATATGCTCAAAACATCTCAAAACCAAACCCCAAGCTTCGTTCGACTCAACAGACGTACAGTACCCACATTTGGAAACTGGGGCGGTTAGTTTTAGAGCTTGTGAAGGTTCATTTGTTCAAGTTTCCTGTACAACTTGTTATAGTAGAATTACATAGAATTACTCAACGATCTTTCAAGACTGTGGCGCCGGAAGATTTTAGCATGTTAGGGGTTTTGATATTTAGTGCATTTTTGTGCTAATTGTTTCTTCACGAGGCTGCATGTGCTTGCAAACTTGAACCGAAATTAGATCTTGGTTTTGGCCCTGACGATTGGTGGAATCTAAGGATCTCCCATATCTTTTTCGCGAACATCAATTGAATCCTTTGGATCGTCAAGGTTTCGCGAAATATGTAGCCAATATCATCGGGAATAAATTTACAAAGAATAATCTTCGAATCGAATCCTTTGAATCTATTTTGAATAAAAATAAGACTAATTAATTACATATATTAAATATGATTTAATATATTTTTTTTGTTTAGTATAAATCATAATAAAGATATATAAATTATTGATAATAGAAAGGTAATAATTTAATTGAATACGAAAAGATTAATGGAATATGGATAAGGATATTTTCCTTTGATTTTATATTTATTATATGTATTTTAGATATAATTTCGATTTATAAATTTGAATTTTGGAAATCTAGATAATTGAATTAGGAATATATTATTGGTAATAATATTTTATTTCGTATATTTTAGTCGAAGAATAATATAATGGAAATAAAATAAAAGAAAGATATATGGAGTCCGGCTAAATATTTATAATAAAAAGAAATAAATAAAGGGATTGAAAATAATTTATGATATTGTATTTTTTAAAATAGAAATTCGAATTTATAGCCGTCTTTTAAATAAATTTATTTGTTTTGTAGTTGGGTATTAGGATTGTAATATATTTATATTAATGATGTTAATATTTGTTTTAGGGTATATTTAAATTTTGAGTTTGTCTTGCGAAATAAGTGTTGGCGTATTCGGATCGAATAATTGATCGTTTAATTTTTTTTGTTTTTTTCCCCCTTCTCCCCTATCGTCTCGTTGGAATTGATTTTTTAATAAAACTTTCCTCCTTATCGTTTTATTGGAATTGATTTTTTAATTTAGATTCCCCCTTCTTTCCTTTTAATATAGATCCCTCTTTTTCTCTTTTATTAAATTTAATTCTTTCTTGAAGAACGTTTTCGTGAACCTCTTTATTATTTTACGATAATGGAACTTTTTTGATGCTAGATTTTAGGTTGCCGCCGTGTCAATTGCTTTTGGCGTGCGCTGGACATTTAAGACAGTTTTTTTTTTTTTTTTTTCCATTGGCAAGTCTGCTGGATGGGTAGATTTAGGTGTCTGAGCCTGCTTAGGGCCTTGTTGTTGAACCGCTTGTGCGCTACCTGGGCCTTTGCCTTGTGAAGGTGGAAGGCTATAGTATCGCTAGTAGCGGCGTTGGCCAGTGTCACTTGGTGTTGAGGCTGTTGAGGTCCGGTAGTGCCTACTGCAATCGGGCGTTTGCTGTTGAGGTTTCGATCTGGAGCTTGCTTTGAGGTCCGGGAATGCCCATTGCGATCTGGCGCTGCTGTTTGGCTGGTGAGGTTTTAATCTTGTAATGTGCGCCTACGCCCAGAAGAAAAAACACCGGTGCGCCGGTGGATTTCCAAGTTTCATTGCCAGCCACTCCACCCATTTCAAGTTGAAGTTTTAAGAAGCGCTGAAATGCTATATGCTTATGAGGAGTGAGGGCATAAAGCTAGACCTTGTGGTTATTCTGGGGGAAATTTGGACCGCTTTTTAAATTTTATTCCTACACCCGCTCTACCACAACATTTTTTGTGGGTGTAGCTTAGAACCCTTATGCTAATGAGGGCACTAAGCTAGACCAACTTGTTTTTGCAATGTAAGCCCACGTAGGCATGGGCCTGGAACCGTTGTGTTGCCAAGGCAATAACGCTATCCAAAATATTTTAAAACCAAAGTTATGAGTTATAAGTGTTTGATTTTTTTTTCGTAGAGGTGGCCCGTAGTGATTGTTTGGTTCCTTTTGACTTCCTACCAAGGGTTGAGTTGAGTGTTGGGATTTGTTTTCGTTTATGCACTTTTTGTTCACATTCGCACTTATGTGCCAACTGGTCACTGTCCCACAAAGAACAATTAGAAGGCGTCGTGTTCTAAGGTCATGGTATGCGTATATACAAGGATAGTTGATAAAACACAGGTCGAGAGTTTTGGCGCAGGCGTTTTCATCGTTAGTGTCTGTTGGTACCGTGGTTCAAGGGCAGGCTCTTGCATGCTGCTTCTTGCAGCATACCCTAACGGGGAACGGAAGCGTAGGACAAGTGCAGGTACCAGGGTGCCTCAATGGTTGCCAGAGCCTGGGTAGTTCAGGGAGCGTCTTGAAGCTTGCAATGCACTAAGCGCTTTAAGCGAAGTGCAATCCTCAGAAGCACGGCGATGTGCGACCGTCAGTCATGCAGGGGCACCGGTGCAAGCCCTTGCTACACTTAAACCTGGTGTGTTGACTCCTTTCAGCGATGAGTCATGGCTTTTATGGCGATACTACGGAAAACCCTGTTCTGCGTACAGTTTGGAGGTAGACAAAGTTTTTCTCTTCAAAGAGCATGTCATTCTGTGGCAGCGACAAGCTTTGGCGGAATCGCGTGATTGCCATCTTGCCACCGCCCCAATCATTTTGCAATATCAGTGCTTCACTCCATCGGTGAGAGTCTTGACTGAAGAACTGTTTTTTCGGGAGCTTGGCAACGAGGGTGATTTGTCTTTGGAATTGCTGTGTGAGAGGTTGGGTTCGCGCCTGGCAGATGTGTTGGAGAGATGCGGTTGGGTTATTCCTGTTCTTTGGGTACCAAAACCCATCATGCTCCTCTTAGTGCAAGGTAAGTGGAAAGCTTTGGTTCTCCATATGATGAACTCTGTTCTAAATAGAGATGCTCCACTTTTCCAGAGACATTGTTTGAATTGGCTGCGAGATTTGATGCAGTATCCATCCAACGGTTGCTTCAGTTGTTTGTGGGGAAACCGTTTTCAGCAATACCGCTCGCCAAACCACCCGCTGACTAGTGCTTGTGCTTTGTTTGCGATGCAACAGCTCCGGGCCCATTCCTCTGCAATCATTGCGGACGGCGGGCCGAGTTCCCAGAGCAGGCTGGAAGAGACTCTTGAAGGCTTGGAAATTTTCACACAAAGCTTAGTTGAAAACCGGCAGGCTGGCAGCCACGTAACCGGACGTAAAGCTGTCGCCTCTCGCATTTTTGATGACATTCGCGCTGCTCACCTTTTGAGAAACCGTGGCCACTTCAAGGCCATGAAGACTGCAATGATGCGAAGCCTGATGCCTCATCAGCTGCAGAGCCTGGCGAAAGCCATGATGTATGACCCATTGTCGGCGCCTTCCCTTTCAAAGTTCCAGGCTCCGAGCCTGAACAAAGCCAAGGTGTTCTTGTTTTCGCTCACGCCATATGTCGCTTTTTGCAAACAAAAACGCGTGAGATTCAGGAAGTAAACGTTGCACTTTGTCTGTGCCCCCCCTAACTCCCTAACCCCCATACCATGGGCTTCAACCAGTACAGTGTTGCGTTCCAAAGTTTGTGTGCAAGACATTTCCAAGAACATGACGCTGTTAGGTGTACATGGATTGCACCTTTGCAGTTCTGTTTCGGGATGTGCTGGACAGCAACTTTGGCCCAGTCTATTTGTGGTGCGACTCATCCCCGCAAGCTGGGGTTGATTGGCTACTGAGCATCATTGATTACATTGCCGAAGACCACCTGGAGGAGTGCCATCAGAAGTATCAAGCCCTTTATCGATCCACAAGTCTGATTCAGCAATCCGTTGAGGATGTGAATTTACTTGCCGAGATTGCGGTTAACCGTGCAGATGCAATCAAATTCCTCAGGCAGAAACTGCACAGACATAGGCAAATGCCCATGGGCTTAGGCTCGGGGGCCAGCAAATTAGAGAAAAAGTGCCAGGCGCTTGCCATGAAGTTGGCGCATGAGACTCATTCATTCCAAGCTTTGCGACGGGTGGCCAAACAAATAGTGTCTGTCACAGTTGACATGGGTGTGGAGTCAGGCGTTGCGGACGCCCAAGGGGGGGATGTGGTGTCATACTTGCCGCCGTGGATGGCTGCCCAAGATTGTTTGCAAGAGGACGCCGGCTTGGATGCAGTTGAGGTTTCTTCAGACCGTTTATTTCCAAGGTCATTGCTTGCTGCAGGCCTAGACCACATTTCAAACAACTTACTCAGCGACATGGACCAGCACTTGCAATGTTGGGATGGTTGGCTTCCAGGGTTTAAAGCTCTGGCGCACCTTTTGAGCCACAAGCATCTGTTGAGCAGACTAGTTGGTCGATGCATTCTGGGGACTCCACATCAAGCTTTAGCCAGGATGTTTGAAACCTGCATAGAGCCCATTGCCAAGTGGCGGTGGGGAACCATTGTGAAGACTTTGCCTTCAGTACTGAGACTGGAACGAGGTTTGCGGATTGTTTGGGATGAGCAAAAATTCCTTGCTAGAGGTGAAACCATGCAAAGTCAAGGTCAGGATGACTCTTTTGATTGCAGCCTTATCACCAAGACCATCCAAGACAACAGCTGGTGGGCCATGAGCCATATGCTTTTGCATTTGCATTCCATCGGTAATCTTGCTAGCGCTTGGGGAAGCAGTTGTCCTTGTCATGAATGGATCACCGCGAAGCCTGAGTCACAGCATTTTGCTATGAGTGAAGCTTTGCATCGCACGCTGGAAACTTTGCGCCTGGAGAAAGGCTTGGACGGTGCGAACGTGGATTGTCCATTGAAAGGCAAACGGGCTCCAGAGCTAGCAGCTGGGATGTTGATGCCGCGCATCAATGAACTTGTAGAGCATTGCACGAGCGACGTGCTGCTTGCTTGCTCATCGGTTTCTGCCGAACAACGGGAGAAGGTTGTCAATGATTTCACCTTGGGGGTTGACTACATACGCATGACCCTCGACGTCAAACTTGGGCATTGGGCAACCTTGCCTTGGCTCCTTGCCGCCTTGTCGCTACCAGAGCCGAGTGTTCAACACAAAGCCATAGCGCAGAGAGCAATTGAGGAGTTTGACAAATTACCTGCGATACCCATTCACCATCATCAGTTGACTTGGCAGATTTTGAACCCGAGTTCTACATTGCGAAGCCAGCTTGAAGCGGTAGCGCAGGGTGCTTTGTTGGCAAGCCTGCCAGGGCTTGCGTCAGAAGTGGCTCGTCTCTCTTTTGTGCCGGTAGTGGAACGGATTGTCGAGGGAGCGCACAGCTTGGTCCACAGACACACTGGGTACAGAAAAATTTCTGGTGCATATGTATCTTGCTCGCACAGACTCCCTGAGATGGAGGCCATCCTTGACACAGATGACGGTCTGGAAAACTTTTGCGCAGCGTTTGAGCAGTTGCGGAAGCCACGGCAGCTAGCCAAAAAGTTCAGGCTTCAAGACCACCCTCTATGGCTGGAACTGACAAGTAAGCCGCCCAAGCAGCAATCCGGAGTGCAGAAGCTTCTCAAGTCAATTGTATATTCCACAGATGCTCATACAATGTATGTTGATCATGCAATGTCACGGAAGCAGCATGACAAACGCCAATGTGCAGCCATCAAAGCAAAACTTGCAGTGAACCCCAAGCCCAAGATTGCGTTGACGCAAGATTCAGTCATGCAACATGCCCTGATCCAACACGTCCAAGAGATGTTGATCCCCGGAGAGTTCTATTCATTT